CTCCAGCGGCTCTTTGCATCTCAGCCTCCAGCAGGCTCGCCTTTGCGGCTGTTCCCTTTTTGCTTGGGGTCAGAAATGCTCCAGTTTTTTGAAGTGGCTGGTTTTGAAACTCTGCACGCCCAGGGCTGAGGAGGCCGGTTCGTTTCCAGCCCCCGTTCCATGCAGATGTCAAGCACGCATGCACGCTTACCAGAATTCCAGCAACTGACCCATTTCTCATCTCGGACCAAATATAGTCTTGCATCCCTTAGGGAGGATATTTTTCTGATTTTCTAACAGTCTTCGTGTGAATCGGGGAGGAGGCAGGTCTTTGCACTAACAAGGCGAAGCTTGCAGCTGGCTGTTGGCATAATGGTCTCCTGAATGTTTTATCAGCCTGGACCCCAGGCATTTTATCCACAATGAGGTAGAGAGAAATCTCTGCCTGCCACCAAAACGTATAGGGACGTGTTCTTACAGCCTCCGCTTTATATGCACGCAGACACAAACGCTGCAACTCCCCGCCCATTCCAGAAAAGAAAGCAACAAGGATAGGGCAAATGATGACACATGCATAATGACATCATCGTGTGTGATGACCCCATGCGTAATTTTTATTTTTTTTATTTATTGATCATATTTAAGTAGCCTTATAATGACCTCATCTATTTAGTGATATTTCAGTAAAGGATAGGAAATGATAGCATGCTAATGCAATTTGTTTCTTAAACTTTCTGAAAGTTTGCAAAATAGCATGCAGGCATCTGTGGTCCACGGAGACTACTGTACTTCTCCAGGGCAAGATAATGGAAAACCAACGGAAAAAGAGGATTGGATTGAAACATGTGGCTTGGCTTTTAAAATGTATTTTTACCAGGTTACAGTCAGAGATGGGAGGTGAAAGAGTGAGCAGGGGTGTCAATTGGGCCCTGAAGTGGGATTAAATTGCACCAAGGGCCTTATCTCTTGCTAGGAGAAGAACGTGGATATTAGTGATAGATCCACCATTTTTGCAGATGGTTTTTTATGCAGCTAAGATTCCAAACTCCTTCCAGACAGGGAATCCTTGGGCTTTTGTTCAAATGCGCATGAAAAACAGTTCTATGAGAAAAGCTGGATGGAATGGATGGATTGAATGGATGGAATGAAAAGTTGGAGAAGCCTAAATCTCATTTTTCTTTCCCCCTTTCCGGAACCATCTAGTTCAGTGTTTCTTGATCTCGGCAACTTTCAGATGTGCGGATTTCAACTCCAAGAATTCCCCAGCCAGCCATGCTGAAAATTGCTGAGATTGAGAAACACGGATTCTAGTCCAACCATCCGCAATGGGCGGGGAAACCAATTAAACCACCTTGGAGACGCAGACTTTTCTTTACAATTTCCAACAGCACCTCCCTTCAGCACCAGACTCAAAGGCGCAATAGAAAAGAAACGTAGTAAACAGAACGAGGATCCCGCGGCGCTCCCGCTAGGCTAGAAGAGTGACTGCTCAGCCGGGAAAGGGTTAAGAGCACTGGAGGCAACGAGGCAGTTCCTAGAGTGGCAGGAAGGGTAGGACAAAGGGGCTTTTAGGGTCCCCGCCCCTCCATGTGCCCCGCCCACTTCCTCTTCCGGG